TGCTTGTGTTTCAGATCCGTTCTGACGGGCGTGTGGTTCGCACGGAACAGGGCCTCCTCCTGCGCTCCCTCCAGCTGTCTGACAGCGGTGTTTACCAGTGCACCTCAACTGAGAAGAACTTCAAACACACCCTTGTCAAACTCCAGCTCGTGGTTCTCTCCGCCCACACAGTCAACAGCATCCAGACTGAAAGCGGCGCCCCGGCCGCCCCACCCCTTCAGTCCAGCGCCTGGACGCCCAGCGCAGAACAATACAAAGACCTCCTGACCATCCTCAGCCAACCTGAGATGGGCCTCATCAACCAGTACTGCCAAGACTACTGGCAGATAGGGGACGACCCCATGGCCCACAAGAAGAAGGACCTCAAGGAGCTCCAGAAGGACCTGCGGAAGCCTCGAAATAGGAGACACCACCAGGAGCAGAGCAGCATGGCTGAGACATGAGGAAACTTGCATAATAATCCACCAACAACCATCATGGCCGAGGAGAACATAAACAATACGTTTCTCTTGAAAGCGCATAGTATTTATTGTAGGCTTGTACATAGTTAGATTCTGTGGATATCTTTGTATGGGAATAGCGCAACAACAACAACGAAAAAAAAAAGATGAAAACGTTTTGTGTATAGATCTGTGCAAATATTTTGTTAGCATTGTTACTTCCCTTCCGATATATTTATTACAGCGGTATTCATCCGTCATCCACATTATATGACTGTTATCATGAAACGTTGTGTATATATTACAGTTTCAGTGAGCGGAGAGTTGGACATCTGATGGACAGTTTGACTGCGTTTCGATGTTTTGATACCGGAGTGACTCTTTTAGTCGAGCACGTGTTCTCAGTTAGATGCGAATATTTGGCGCATCTACATTTTTCTGTGACCTCCCCTGAAAAAAAGACTTTAGTATCATCAGAAACACTCATCTTTTAATCTTCTTGATCTTCCATATGTTGCTATGCTAATGCGTGTTAAATATAAAGTCGATTCTGTGTGTTATATATTTGGTTTATGATCGATTACAGCCTCCTGTACAGTATGTATGTACATCACTTTTTGTTTTCCTTTATATAAATATGTATTATTGCACGCAAAGGAACTGAAAACATGTCCATCTCTTTGCAGAGCAGAATGGTTTTTTTTGGTTTTTGTTTTTGTTTGTTTTTTAAGAGATATGTACCTCTTCAGTCATTTTCAGAAAAAAAACTAAATAAATAAAAGTCCAAGCAAGCTCCTCTAAACATTTGATCATTTGGACAAGTTAAAACGTCTAGAATGAATCTTTAGGGGGCTTGATTGAGTTTGCATGAACTGTATTTGTACTGTACAGGTATGTAGTCAAATTCTGGATATGTGGCTGTGTTGCTGTATGGTTTTTAACATAGTGAATGGAGAGAAAGAGAGCGAGAGAGACTGTTTTTTTGAAAACAGAGGACTTTGCTAAACTAGTGATGGAATCAAGCACAATTACCTGACGTGTCTGTTTCACCTCCGTTGTGTTTTCTCTACAAGCATAGCAAAACGGGCTGTGTGAAATGATTGTTGTATACGTGTATTTTGTTTCTTTTTTGTTGTAAGACATTACCCATCACTGTGGTTTGTCCTCTTTGTTTTGTCTTTTTTTTTTAGAATATTCTAATGTGAAAAGACCCTAAATTAGATGTTATGAACAGTTAATGTTATAGTAATGTATTTTTTATTTGTTTTCTTTTCCATCTTTGTCGTTGACTAATTAAAGTTATATATTTTATAACAAACACATTTTGGGTTTTCTGCAGAAAAATGAGTGAATTTATGCTATGTTTGCCATTGACTTGCATTTTGTAAACTATAAACAAACACAGTTCCAGCTAAAATTGTATTTTTTTTTCTACGGCGAGGAAATGTTATAAGTCTTTATCTGGCTTTTTTGGGATTAATTATTGTAATCTGCCAATTGCACCAGAGAAATACTGGGAAATCTCTGTAGACTGATGGCATTTCATGCTGTTCAGCCATATAATCTTAGAATGTCAGCAAAATCACCTGTTTTGTCACCTTAGATATTACGGTAGAGATTCATTCAAATGCTAGCTCTAAAGTGACGTTGGTGAAGTAGCAACAGTTTCTGCTGTTCTGACGGTCAGCTGCAGATGTGAGTGAATAGCGGAAGAAAGTAGTTCCTCTTACTTTTTTATACACAATTATGTCGTCGAACTGTTGTATAAACGCAATATCACACTCGTAGCAGTGCGATATGGCTGTATATCTTCACTGAGTAATACGTTTAAATTCAAATGCAGTGCCTACTTAGTAGGTGGTTTTGGACGCAGTCATTGAATTTTGGTCACCTGACGTTGCGACCTAAATCCAACCTAATATTAATATCTTATGACATTGTGTGCCTGCTGGGCAATAACTAAATTAAATTGCACTACAGAATTTTATGTTTACACACATCCATAAATTACATGTAAATTCATCAGGTTTTAAATGCATAATACTCACTAACGACTCTTGAGTACTTTTGAAAGGTCTACTTTTTACTCATACTTTGAGTAATATTTACAACAGATACTTTTACTCTACTTGCACTACATTTTTAGGCAAGTAATGGTACTTTTGAGTATGATTTTTCAGTACTCTTTCTACCACTGACGGTCACAACAATATATTTCTGTGTAAGGTGAGGTTTACTGATGAAGAACACTGGCGAAGGTGTTCCCATCTCCCTCAACTGTGATGGCTATGGATTAATGTATCAGTTTTCAGATTGAGGTCAATGGGCTCTGTCAGGTAAAAGACTAAAGCTCTTTAAATGCTGCTCTGCACACTGTGTACATTACATGGAAAATGTCAACTGATCCTGATGACTACAGTAACAAAATGAGATTAGCATTACTCATGGATACTTTAGGTACTTGAGGGAAAAAACTTTTGAAAAAACCCAAAAATAATAATCAATGAATAAAATGTAATAATTACCATGCAACAATAGCAAGAAAGGTTATCTTATTCAGCACTGATGATTTCCTAAAGACCGTTTAACTTGCCTGGAACTTTTTCCTTCCAAAAAAAAAGGGTTCTTGTTTAGATTACTAAGATATTCTTCCCACTGAAAAAGAAATACTTATTTTAAACCTATATAACACTTTAAAGTCTTTTGGGGACTAAATAGTTTGAATTGCAATGATTGTGGTTCAAAATTGAAATTCAGTTTTCTTATGTTTTATTTAGAATATTATATTATATTATATTATATTATATTATATTATATTATATTATTATTCATTTAATTTCTTTTCAGCTCAGTCCCTTTATTAATCTGGCGTCGCCACAGCGGAATGAACCACCAACTTATCCAGCATATGTTTTACGCAGCGGATGCCCTTCCAGCTGCAACTGGTCACTGGGAAACACTCATACATTCGTATTGACACACATACACTACAGACAGTTTTAGGTTAGCCAATTCACCTGTACCGCATGTCTTTGGAAACCGGAGCACCCAGAGGAAACCCACGCGAACACGGGGAGCACATACAAACTCCACATAGAAATGCCAACTGACCCAGCCTAGGCTCGAACCAGCAACCTTTTTGCTGTGAGGCGACAGCACTACATTCTGTGGCACTGCTTCACCTATATTATATTATATTATATTATATTATATTATATTATATTATATTTATTATATTATATTATATTTATTATATTATATTTTATTTATTATATTATATTATATTATATTATATTATATTATATTATATTATATTATGAGGATTAAAGGATTTAATTACAACCAAGATAACTGGATAAACATGCTTAATTGTCAGAAATATGCACATAATTTTATTTTTGTTATTTTTAGGTGTACATAAAAAGTCAAATTCAATTTTTATACATGATCTATTACATAAATGAAACATTTACATATTACATTATGAAAAATAAACAATGTATTACTTTATTCATTCTGTCATTCATTCATTTTTTTTTCGGCTGAGTCCTTTTATTAATTTGGGGCTGCCACACCTGAATGAACTGCCAACTTATCCAGCACATGTTTTATGCATCGGATGCCCTTCCAGCTGCAACCCATCACTGGGAAACATCTTTACACACTCATTCACAGACAAACACGAAGGACAATTTAGCTTACCCAATTTACATATACCACATGTCTTTGGACTGTGGGGGAAACCGGAGCACCTGGAGGAAACCCACATGAACACAGTGAGAACATCCAAACTCCACACAGAAATGCCAACTGACCCAGTTGAGGCTCTACCAGCGACCTTCCTGCTGTGAGGGGATTGTGCTACCTACTGCGCCACCGTGACCCCATATCTATATATTTCAATTTAATTTTTCATAGAATAACAGGTTTTTAATGTGATAGTTCACCCAAAAATGAATATTCTGGTCATTTTTAGCTCTCACCCTTTATTTGTTCAGAACCTATTTGAGTTTCTTTCCTCTGTTGAACTCAAAAGACAATATTTAAAAAAAAATGCTGGCACCCATTGACATCCATATTATTACCCTTACTATGGAAGCCAATAGGTGCCAGCAGCAGCATTCTCCAAAATATCTTCCTTTGAGTTCAACAGAAGAAATTGCCTCATATATGTTTAAAACCACATGTGGGCGTTTTTTCATTTCAGTCTTGTTAAGCTCAGAGTCAACAATGACTTTTAGCTTCTTTTTTGTAATATCCTACTAACACATTCATCAGATGATGCCAAGAAACTGTAATGTTTGTATGCCTGCGTTATCTTACTCACCCGGTCTCCATGGCCATTTTAATGTGCTTGTGAAGACGCTGGCCAGATTATACCATTTTGCCGAGCGCAGCACCTTCTCCTTAAATCTGAGGTCAGATGTCCTCTGCACGCTTTCAATGCCTCCTGTCCTTGTTCTCCATTGGCCCTGTCGGCCCAGGTGGTCAGATCCATCCCCAAAATCCCTCTAAGACTCCAAACAATTGATCAGTACTGGAGATCCAGTTGAGGTGTGAGCTGTGAGAGCACCTGGAGGCCTCTAGGCAAGCGAGTGGTCATCCAAAAGGACTTCTTTTTCCCTAATCAAAAGTCAGTATGGGGGCCGGGGCGAGCGCCGAGGAAAAACACTCCAGGGAGCTTGAGAAAAAGCTGAAAGAGGACGCAGACAAAGATGCCAGGACCGTCAAACTTCTGCTGCTAGGTATCAACACATTTCAAATCATTGCTCAAGTCCAATCATGAAGAATATAGTGCATTTGCTAGCTTTAGAAAATTAGACATTTGTTCCTGTTTGAAATATTTGTAATAAACAGGCAATGTTGTGGCTGTAAACATTAGGAAAGAAGGTTAGTTGTGTCCCAAATGATGCGATATGCATGCATATATCTGTCTAGTGTATACAGTTCATACGGTTATTTTGTCAGTGGTGTCCCGTTCCCTTCACTACATGCTGTAATTAAAACTGCGACAGTTAAGGGCGTGAAGTGTTCAACATTATTTTTAAGGTCACTTAATTAAACACTGAAAACATCATGGTGCTTAAGTATGAAAATGTAGATGCAGCCTTTGTTTTTGTTACATGAAAGTAACTTTAAATATTGCACGTCTTAAAAACAAGATGAAAACGGATTGAATACTGACATTCAAATCAAAGTTTAAAAAAATGACTTGATATTGTGCTATATCTAATGCCTCTGAATTGTTTTTATAAATACTTAAAAACATTGCAATTAAGGGAGTTCAAATATGCTTGTAGATTCAACAATAGTCGTATCATAACTGGTCATCTCTTTGTCAGCGAGATGATGTAGGTCAGGGTTATGGGACATCTAACTTAAAGGGGCTTAAGGCAGGAATAATAAGCCTCAAGCCTCTTATTGTAATCCTTCAAAAGATAAACAAAGGCAGAGGAGAGAGATGGATGTGTTCAGCCATTAATTCACTTATGCTTGTCAAAATAAATAATATATTACTGTTTAAAAGTTCTTTAGACATTTAGGTTTGACAAATCTATTTTCCTTGGAGGTTTTACTCTCAAAACATTTGTGAAAAGTAGATTTGGAGACCTAGGGGTCATAATTATTTAACAGACTGGACATACTGTGTCAGGGTGAATGTAATGTAATTTGATGTAGTCTGATTAAAACAGTCTCATCACACGTTTGGCAGAATGCAAGTAAAATAGACAGATTTTTTTTTCCAAATCAGTCGGCTCATAATCGAGCAGTCAATTTCAGAAATGTTATTTATACTCTTCATAAAATCCTTTCAAAACATCGATACAGATTGCCTTATAACCTTGGGCTCATAGGCTTTATATAGCCTCCTATAATAAATTGTTTTAGTTATATTATTTTTAATTTTTTTTTAATTCTGTTGATTTTTCCCCCCATTATTTTTTGTTTTTTAATTAATAAAAATGAACTCAATAGTAATTTTTTCAAGTTTTCTCCAGACTTAAAAAAGCTGAAGACGCTGAAGAGTTTCTGTGTGTACGAGATAAAGTTCATGTGTTCATGACAGATTAATAAAATAATCAGGTCACACTTTGCAATAAGGTTTCATTAGTTGATATTAGATACTAATATGAAATGATAACGAGCAATGCTTTACAGCATTTATTAATCATAGTTTAACATTCACAAATACATTACTGAAATCCTTAATTGAGCTTGATAACAGTAGTTAATGCACTTTTAGATAACTAACAATGAGCAACTTTATTTTCATTAACGAATGTTAACAGCGATGAATACACTAACAAATGTACTGTTCATTGCACATATTAGTAAATAAATCAACTAACATTAACTAATGCGCTTTTATTGTTAAGTCTTACCAAAAATCCAACACTGTCTTGCTTTCAGGTGCTGGTGAGTCGGGGAAAAGCACAATTGTCAAACAGATGAAGTAAGTGCTGAGGACACAAGCGTATGCTAACACAACAAACTGCACTGCATTACATTCAGAGCTCTTTTACCTCAAAACCAAGAAACGATTGGTCATTAAACGTATCTTTCTCCATCCCAGAATTATTCACAAAGATGGTTACTCCCTTGAAGAGTGCTTGGAGTTCATTGTCATCATCTACAGCAACACCATGCAGTCCATTCTGGCCGTTGTGAGGGCCATGACCACACTCAACATTGGCTATGGAGACGCTGCCGCACAGGTGAACACAGACAGACACATCCACTGACTGAAAACAGCAGTGGTCAATAGACTACACACCACAATGATGACAGCAGAAATTAAGAATTATCATATGCCGAGGAAGGACATTCTAGGTGTAATTCTTAATATTTATACATAAAATATAAAAAAATAACTACGTGAATAAAAACAATATGTTCAATTCAAAACGGCGAAACGAGTCAAAAGGTTCCATTATAGGATGTTACAAACGACATTTCCGTCATTAAACACGACATATAGAGACATTTAGAGCTAGAGTTTGACTTTTTATGAACTTTTTAATGTTTTCACTTAATTCAGGACAGGTGCTTCAATTTTACCTTGCTCTTTTTTGCCTCACTGGAAATTCGCGCTCAGCTTCTGTGAACCTTAAACACCGCCCACGATTATTTGATTGATCATCTGTCATTCTGACATTGATTAGCGATGTTAACCCCGCCCACTTTAATTAAACAGGTTATTTGTCATTTTGACAAAATGTATAGTGACAAGTTCTTTTTGTTTGTTTGTTTGTTTGCTCGTTGTTTAAACCCCATGCTTTACACAAACATAACAACAACAAAAAAATCACTCACAGTAAATTTAACAATTTTAATAGAAAAAAAATAATTCAGGTCTACACACTGAATTAAAGTAGAAAGAATGAAATAGACATCGCTTTCCTTGTAAAACACGACAGTATTCTGTTTTAATTAACTTCAAAAACTACTGTAGACTACATTATATGTACGATATTCTACAGATATTCATCAGAATCCCTCCACACAGAAATGCCAAATGACCCAGCCGGGACTCGAACCAGCGACCTTCTTGCTGTGAGGCAACAGTGCTAACCACTGAGCCTCTGTGTCAACCTAAAAGCAATTTGATCATATATACTTTCACATTATATTACAAAATAAAATTGTACCAAAAACCGTTTAGAACTTTTCTTGATAGAAGAAGTCATAAATGATGCACAGCTAAGAGATTATTAAAAGAAAGACATAATGGAGGATTATACTGGATTTTCAATCACATCATCACTTTCAAGAAGCTTACAGCTTTATTTTTTCCATTCTGAACTTCAGAATCTCCAGTTAAAATTAGTTTGTTTTTTTGTTAGTTTTTTTTTCTGAGTATTTTGTTTACTGGTTATGATTTGCAAAAGACAGCCAAAATTATTCAGAGTATTTATTTTAAAAAAAGTAAAATACTTAAAACAAAATGAGTTGATGGCATGCATATTTAAGGATCACAATGCAGCCCTAAAACACTCATACATTGTCATTTTTAGTTATTGTCATTATCCTTCAATCCAATGAGTCTTACTTATTTCACAAGATTTGTTTTTTTAAATGTAATTATTGTATACAATTACAATTTCGTATGAATATTTTATGATTTAATATTGATTGATTTATTATATATTTACATTTTTGAGTGATATAATAGTACCTACAGGTCAGAAAAAGTAGGCTATGTCATCCAATTTTCACATAAAAATTATAATATGACCCACTGAATGATGCAGATAAAATTTATTTCACCCAAACATTTAATTTTATTTAAACACATAACGTTGTTAATAATTTCATTTCTTTTACATTTTGTGTTTGCTTATGTTTTGTTCCGAAAATTAATGTTCCTCCCCTTCCCTTTAACTGACCACATTTGGGATCATAACAGTTGTTTTAATTCCTTCAACCGATTGTTTTATGGATCTTATTTAATCTTCCTATGTTTGAAATGTTCTATATTAATAAACACCCCTTGCCTTTCCTTGCCTATCTTTACAAAAGTTGTTTGAGAAAGTAGACAGGCATAAAATTGGACATCTTGTCTTTGATGAGCAGCTCATGTTTAAACCAACTACAGAAACCCCTACAAGAAAACAGATCTGTCAGTTATACATCAATTTACCTGTTTGTTGCAGGATGATGCAAGGAAGCTGATGCATTTAGCAGATACTATTGAAGAGGGCACCATGCCAAAAGAGCTGTCGGACATTATCCTGAGGTTGTGGAAGGATTCAGGCATCCAGGCGTGCTTCGACAGAGCCTCAGAATACCAGCTCAACGACTCTGCTGGATAGTATGTCCTCCTAAATAGCCTTTAAAAGGAAACCTATTATGCAGAAATCACTTTTACAAAGGGGTCTTAATGCAGTTGTGTAGCAACAGTCTGAATATAAACAGCTTCTTATGGTAAAACATTTTAATTAATATTTTGTTTTTACAATTACACCTTAAAAACAGTCCGCAGAAACACTTTGATTAACATTCTCCATTTGCACGTCATCAAAGAGGGAAAGCTCTGTCCATTAGTGACGATCTCTCCCTCATTAGTATAGGACATTAGTCTTGTTTTTGAATCTGCCACTATGCTAACACGTAGGCATTTGTAGCTCCGCCCTCTTTTGAAAAAAGTACAATCTCATTTAAATTCAAAGCAACAGTCGCCAAAATGGCACAACTAGGATCAAAGCCTTAAGGGTGCAGTTTCAAAGAGTTATAAAACATTATATGTGGGGTATTTTCAGTTGAAACTTCACATACACACACCACATATATTACTCATATTTGTCTTGACATATTTGACAAAAATCTTGTAAAAAGAGGGCATAATAGGCCTGCTTTAAAGCATTAGAAATCATTTGGCAAGACTCCTCTAAAAGGCCTACAAGTTCATTTTTGGATTCCATATAAAATTTCACATTTGCAACAGATATTTTGGAATATTGCAAAAATGACAAATTGTGTGTTTATTTAATTAATTGGAATTACAAATATGTTCAAATAAATATACATTATCATGAATAAACTATAGCTAATATATCTGAACACTTATATTTACAATTTCAATGGCTGAAAAAAAGTGAAACCTTTTAGTTTTTTTCTACATTTCAAAATATGTTGCATATATGACAATATATAAACGTGAAATCCAGATATGAAGTTTTATTTAATTTGCGTACATTGTCATTTATCAAATTTCTTTATCTGTATATTAAGTATAAAGTTTATTTGACATATATATAGGAAATTCTGTACTGATTCCACTGATCTTTCTCCAAGTTATCTAAATGACCTGGAGAGGTTGATCCAGCCCGGCTATGTCCCTACTGAACAGGACGTCCTGCGTTCAAGAGTGAAGACCACAGGTATCATCGAGACCCAGTTCTCTTTCAAAGACCTCAACTTCAGGTACACCACAGCAAACCGAAAAATAATTAAAGCAAGAAAAGGTGTACAAGAGTAGAGCAGGGCTTTATTAAGTGACCTTGTTGGCCTGCAGGATGTTTGATGTGGGTGGTCAGCGCTCAGAGAGGAAGAAGTGGATTCACTGCTTTGAAGGTGTGACCTGTATCATCTTCATCGCTGCTCTGAGTGCATACGACATGGTGCTGGTGGAGGATGATGAAGTGGTAGGTCACCATTAGTCCACGAATGACATCATCACACACAGATGTTTCACCAGAGTCATTTTTCAAGGAAAATCATTTCACTTGGCAGTCATATTTATATTTCCAAACTCATTCATTCAGTCATTCACTCAGTCATTCATTCGTTTTCTTTTGGGTTTAGTCCCTTTATTAATCTGGGCTCGCCACAGTGGAATGATCCACCAACTTATCCAGCATATTTTTTTATGCAGCATATGCCCTTCCAGCTGCAACCTATCTCTGGGAAACATCCATACACACTTATTCACGCTCATTTACCACGGACAATTTTGCCTACATAATTTACCTGTACCGCATGTCTTTGGACTGTGGGGGAAACCGGAGCACCCGGAGGAAACCCACGCGAACACAGGGAGAACATGCAAACTCCACACAGAAATGCCAGTTGACCCAGCTGAGCTCGAACCAGTGACCTTCTTGCTGTGAGGCGACAGCACTACCTACTGCGCCACTGCGTCACCCCATTTCCAAACTATTAGAGGCAAATATCCTATCTTGCATTTTACCATTACATTTGTGAAATTAGCAACAAATCCTGAAAAGGACTATACCACAACTATTTTTACTATAGCTATACTAAAATGATTTGTTTCCATTTATCATATTTTATTCAGTTATTTTTTATTCATTTGTTTGTCAAATAATAGTAATTATGATTATCAAATTATATATTAGTTATGGTGGTTTATTCCGCTGTGGCGACCTCTGAAATAGAGACTGAGGTGAAGGAAAATTAATTAATATATTATTATTATTATTATTATTTTTCTCCCCAAACATTTTCACTAACTCATTAGCACTCCCTTGTGGACCTGTGCCAGCTTGAACACCTCTGCCTTAGTATACACTTTTTAAAATGCTATTTGAGCATAAGATCTATGAAACAAGTCTGTTCATTACCAAAAAAAAAAAAAAAAGAAAAAAAAAAGATTTAATTTAAATTAAGATTTCAGGACTTTTATTTTGGTCTTGCATGGCTGAAATTTCTGCCTAAACTTATTGCAAATATAGCAGAAGATTGCAGACTTTCCTTGAAAGGGATTTTCCTGATGCTTATAAACAGGCCCATGGCCAGAGGAGCTTCAGGCGATCCACCCCTCCCTAACAAAGGTCCAGAATTTGTCCCATTCATGAGCTCATTCGTCCTATTTTGACTGCTTTGTTTGCAATCATAAATAGTAAAATAATCAACCGAAAAAAGCTTTAAGAGCAAGCGAAATCCTGGTGTGACTCCAGTTAATCAGTTTCAGCCAATGTAAAATTCATCTTTCGCAATTGTGTTGTTTTTAAAAAAGAAAACAGTTGACAAATCACTTTTATACTAAAACTTGAACCTTATTCTTGAAAGGAAACAATAAAAAATTCTAAAGCACCAAAAGCAGCCCATATTAAAATAAATTTGAAGAAATTCTGACTGAGGAAAAAGTTGAACGTCCTGACCAGTTTGTTATTTGCCTAATAAATTCCAATAGGCTAGAGATTTTAATAAAGAAAAAAAAAGGAAAAATCAAAAAGTGTGGTTATGAGGACCATCCAACAAGCTAATCCAGATAAAAATAGTGCTTAAAATGTCACTAAATGTTTACTTTTACTAATATTTTAGTATATTTAGATTTAGAATTTAAATCTCATAATTAAATAGAAAATTAGGCAAATAACTGCAAAAAGGTCTACTTTTTGAAAAAAAAAAAAAAAAAACGAAAAAAAAAAAAACACTTTCACCAGGCTGGCTACGGGCATGATAAAACAATTATTTGAATACCCTAGGTAGGCCTAATATACATGTAGAAAGCCTTTTGTACTACAGTGAAACTTTTCAGTAACAGAAACTTTTTTTTTCTGTCCCCAAAGAACCGAATGCATGAGAGTCTTCACCTGTTCAACAGTATCTGCAACCACCGTTACTTCGCCACCACATCTATTGTGCTTTTCCTGAACAAGAAGGATGTGTTCGTGGAGAAGATCAAGAAAGCACATCTGAGCATGTGCTTCCCTGAATATGACGGTGAGACCTCAAAATACATGTCAAAATGTATAACCAAAAGCTACAAAGTTCTCCTGAAAACACAGCGTTTAATTGTTATGCTCAGATTTCCTGTTGATGCATCCTTAAAAAATACCACATGTAATTACTAAGATGCAAATCTAAAAAATGTCATCCTATATAATGCAAAAATAACTATGGCGTACCTGTTATAGGTCCCAACACCTTCGAAGATGCTGGCAACTACATCAAGGTGCAGTTCTTAGATCTGAACCTGCGACGAGATATCAAAGAAATCTACTCCCACATGACCTGCGCCACAGACACAGAGAACGTCAAGTTTGTGTTCGATGCCGTAACAGACATCATCATCAAGGAGAATCTCAAAGACTGCGGTCTCTTCTAAACAACACACTTTTTACAAGAGGTAAACTAATGAGAAGCAGCACTTTAATACATGTTTATTAGTGGGGAAAATATAGGGTTTTTATAGAATAATAAGGCAAGAAACAGGTTGATATAGTAAAATAAAAATGTAGTCTATTTCTCACCATACATTTACAGAATGGATTTTAACAATCTCGTCATTCAGAATCACATTTATTTGTAGAATAAAATGCTGTATATAATCAGATATAGGCTTGTATATAATTGAAGTTACAATTATTAGTCCTCATGTGAAATTTTTATTCGTTTGCATATATTTCTCAAGTTATGTTTAACAGAAATCGTTCATAGTAATTCCTATTATACGTTTTCTTCAGAAGAAAGTCTTATTATTTTAGTTTAGCTTGAATAAAAGCCATTCCTACCGCTTATTTTTGTAAAAAAAAAATTTTTTTAAATGACAATTATAAGCCCCCTTAAGAAATGATTATTATTATTACTTATAAGCTACCGAACAAACCACGGTTGTCCAATGACTTGCCTAAAAAACTTGATTTGATCAGTTAATCAAATAATCCTAGTTAAGCCTTTAAGTTGCACTTTAAGATAATTACTAGTAAAATATTATGTACTGTCATTATGGCAAGACAAAGGCTAGTCATTGAATCTATTTAATTTAATAACATGTTGAATGAATCTTCTCTTTATTAAACTCTATTCTCTCTACTAATGTGAACGTGAAGTTTGGTGGTCGTTCTGCTAAAGTGGACAAATGTGGTTCAGCAGAGACACAAATTAGTAGCATAACACTATACAGGCCCGTAGCCAATGGGGGTTGGGGTGATTTGGAAGATCCACCCCTCACTTACAAAAGTCCACCATACATGAGCTAATTTGTGCTATTTTGACTGCTATGCCACAATAAATTTTGAAAATAATCCATTGAAGGCTTTAAAACGAAGCGGAATCCTGTGTTGGCTGTCACTTCAGCAAGACCAGTTTGCTATTTAAATTATTGATATTTAATTGACAATAGGCAAGTTTTTTAATTTAAAACTTGAACAAGTTTCTAGGCTTTTTTTACTATTAATATATGATGTTATTGATGTTTGTATGATGTAAATGATAATTAATGTAAATCTTTAGAAAATTTGGGCACATCAAAAAGTGTGGTAATGATGACCATTCAACAAGCTAATCCAGCAAAAAAAATAGTGCTTAAAATGTCACTATAATGCAGCATTTAAACCTTATAATTAAATATAAAATGAGGCAAATAACTGCAAAAAGGTTTAAGGGAAAAAAGACTCCTTTTACCAGGCTGGCTACGGGCCTGCTATAGTGACAATAGTGTGACCAAAAAAAAAAAAAAAAAAAAAAAAAACACTAAAAAGCATATTTTGGATGTTTTCTTTACTCTTCACATTTAAATGCACAAAAAAAAGCCCAAAACCTCAAAACAGCAGAGTTTCTTAATTATTTTGCCAGAATGAGAGTATAGTTGCTAGACATATCCGGTGAGAAACTTTTTATTTTCAATGTGCCTTAGTACATAATGTGACTACAAATAAGTTATGCTTTAGCTAAAAGAGAAAAAAAAAAAAAATATATATATATATATATATATATATATATATATATATATATATATATATATATATATATATATATATATATATATATACACAGTTGAAGTCAAAATCATTAGCCCCCCTTTCATTTTTTTTCTTTTTTAAATATTTCCCAAATGATGTTTAACAGAGCAAGGAAATTTTCAGAGTATGTCTGATAGTATTTTTTTCTTCTGGAGAAAGTCTTATTTGTTTTATTTCAGCTAGAATAAAAGCAGTTTTTAATTTTTTAAAAACCATTTTAAGGTCAAAATTATTAGCCCCTTTTAGCTAATGTTTTTTTTTTTTTGATAGTCTAGAACAAACCATTGTTATATAATGGCTTGCCTAATTACCCTAACCTGCCTAGTTAACCTAATTAACCTAGTTAAGCCTTTAAATGTCACTTTAAGCTGAATACTAGTGTCTTGAAAAATATCTGGCCAAATAGTATTTACTATCATCATGGCAAAGATAAAACAAATCAGTTATTAGAAATGAATTATTAAAACTATTATGTTTAGAAATGTGTTGGGAAAAAAATAAACTTGGGGGCTAAGAATTTTGACTTCACCTATATATGTTATAGTATAACTAATATATATATATATATATATATATATATATATATATATATATGTATATATATATATATATATATATATATATATATATATATATATATATGCGTGTGTATTAAAAAATGTCTTAAAATTTGAATGAGATGGTAATGATATAATCTGATTTAATGATCTATGCTAAGCTAAAATGTCTGCCACCAGACATACAGTAGAAATCGGCTGAATGGATTTAAAATATGGCAAAAAAATCAACTCCTTAATTCTAGGGTATTTAGAAAATGAATCTATTATCAAAAAAGTGGAGTGTTCATTTAAAAACCAGTTCAATATCTAAATGAGCATTAACAAAGTCTTTCTTTTTTTTTTACAGATTGGCTGAATCAACAAAACCCAATGCTTTGCTCCTTGTAGCTCGTTTCCTCCCTGGGTAACATACAGTTTCATGAGGGAATTGATTACACGTGGAAGAAGAAATTCTATTACTGCTGTTGGGATCTACATTTGACTGCATGTAATTTAACACCAGAGCCATCACAAATTATACACAAGAACACATGCAGCATCACCCTGTTTGAAAGAACTGGCTCTGAAGCGAGAAGTTTATAAGCTGTGTTTTGGATCTGTTAGTATTTCGCAGTGATCTGTCCTGTAGATTTGCAACTACACTACATGCAGCTGCAAACCAAATGACTAACCAAATGAATCACCTGCATATGCACTTCAGCAGAAGTACTTTAAGAAGATTATATCAGTTATACATTATAGCAGTGACTAACTGTGCAAAGTTCATGTTTTCAAGCCGATTAAGAAAAGACTTTACTGGCATACACTTCTGTTATTTTACAGAGGAGTTATGTCATGTAATGTCCTGTGATTGTCTATGTGAGGTGGATGACTGATGAGAAGATAGCATGTAATAATATTTGCTTAGATCAGGAGCACAGTTAGCAAGCTGAGAGACAATGAACACAATGTTTGAGTGCATTGATTAAACTACAACATCAAACACTGATTAAAAATGCCTAATTGACTGCAAAACCATGAACAATCATGTACATGTAAATTAAAACAATAAAGCTTATGTAGAAAAGACTGAACCTGATGTTTTTGTTTAAGTGTCATTTTTTATTTAAACATGCATTTCTTAATATCAAATAATATTAAGAACCATATGTATAACTGAAACGTATGATCCATGAAATTGATAAAAATCAAACAGTTTCAAAAACCCTTTTGTATGAGGAACTACTTTCTTCTGCTGTTCATTCACATCTGCAGCTGACGTCAGAACAGCAGAAACCGTTGCTACTTCACAAAGTCACTTTTGAGGTAGTATTAGAATGATTCTCTTGTCTAAAATGATGACAAAACAGTTTAAGACTATAAGGTTAATTGGCATGAAATGCCATCAGTCTACAGAGATATCTCCCAGTATTTCTCTGTTGCAATCAGGAGATCACAATAAGCCCAAAAAAAGCAAAAGCAAAGCAAACACTACTAGATTAGTATGGTATTAAGGAAGCACTACAAAATACAAATGAATGAGATCAACTTAGAAAGTCACTTACCTAACCTGTAATGATTTGTTCAGCTGTGGTTTGAAACGTACACTGAACAAATGCTGTTTTTCTCCCCTAAGGACTTATTGTGCGGTCTCTCTCACCATCTTGAGGCAGAACATCAACCGTCGTTGCTCTGCTCAGTATGGCAGGCTTGTAGTCACTGCACTGAATCTCTGAAATTATGAATATTTAAAATAGGCCTTATAAATAAACTGCATAGGTGCAATCTAAACAACTATATTTTCTCCTAAAAAAGCCTCAAAAGTACATTGTTGTCTAACAGCTGCAATATTTGTCAAACTGTACTGCTCTGCTTGCCACTCCTGTAATCAGAGTAATACACAAGGGTGAAGAGGCTGTACAAGAGCTGATATTACTTTAATATCTAACAGCTATCAGCCAATCAGATTCGAGAACAAGACAGAACTGTTGTATATACAAGTGAAGTCCGAATTATTAGCCCAGTTTCTGTTTAACAGAGAGAAGTTCAACAACTTACAACAACACATTTCTAAACATAATAGTTTTATAACTCCTCTTTAATATCTGATTTATTTTATCTTTGCCAATGTCATGATGACAGTAAATAATATTTAATTAGATATTTTTCAAGACACTTCTATACAGCTTAAAGTGACATTTAAAGGCTTAACTAGGTAAATTAGGTAGGCAGATAAGGGTAATTAGGCAAATCATTGTATAACAATGGTTAGCTCTGTAGACCAGGGGTTTTCAAACTGTGGGTCACGACCCACTAGTGAATCGCACAGTGAACGAAGGTGGGTCGCACAACGTCACATAGCTGCAGGCTGCAGCTATATTTACATTGCCGTGAATCAAAACCAGTACGATAATGAGCGAACGACTCTTTAGAGACAATTCTGTTTTTTAAATGAATCATTTAGGTTAAAACACATGAGCTGAAACAGCGGAATCAGCACTCATTGAATGACTGAGTCAGATTAATTTGTTTTAAACGGTCACGTGTCTACTTCAGTAGCGTGCAGTACTCATGGCAGCAGGCGCGAAGTGTTTGGTAAAATAGAAAAGATTTTAAAACTAAAGGCGTTGCAGACTTCTGATACATCTTTAGATTAAACCAAATCTAAAAAGTAGCCACACAGAAAATATGATCAGTCCTACCTTGATCTCAGTTTTATTGCCGGCTGAGGTCCAGAGGGTGAGGAAGTCCTACATTGTCTTTTATGCTTAGAAAAGCTTGCAAGTGCTAGCATGAAACCCTTAAAAGTTAAACGACACCTGACAACAAAACATTCTAAATATGTCAACAAAGTTTGATCATATTCTCTTCTGAAAAAAGAAGAATATCTTTGCCAACAAAAAATGAACAGTTACAACCAGCATCCCACAAAAAGCACTTCGAGCCTCATTTTGTGCATATCAAATTGCAAAATCCAAAAAGCCACACACCATATATGTTTGACTGCTTTGAATGGATACATTCTTATCATTTTACCCATTTTCCATATTAAAATATTATGGGGGGTCTTTTGATTGAATTACTTGCCTAGGCGGGTCCCGGAATAAAAAAAACTTTGGGAACCCCTGCTGTAGACTCAGAAAAAAATACAGCTTAAAGGGGCTAATAATTTTGACCTTAAAATTAAAAAAAAAATTAAGCCGAAATAAAACAAATAAGACTTTCTTCAGAAGAAAAAATATTAGCAGACATACTCAAAAAAAAATTCCTAAATCTGTTGAACATCATTTGGGAAATATTTAAAAAAAGAAAAATATTTCAAAGGGGGCAATTCACACAAATATAATATTATGTGTAATTATTATATTATTAGGTGCAATTATTTATTTTGATATCCCTACACTGAATGCTTTCAACTCTTTCACAGCAGACAACAGACAAAAAACTGATCAAAACAAAAACCCAAAAACATCTAAATGATGTTTTTTGGTGTCAAAACTTTAATTATTCCTTACATATCCAACTCAATCATGTTCCAGCCTGGCAAACAGTTTTTTTAAGTAACGTTTTTATTATTATTTTTCTTTCATTTGATAAAATGCAGTGTAGACATCAACCTCCGTCTCCATTTGGACTAAAGGTTAAATAACAATAAAATCAAGCAGATCAACATGAAACAATTTGAATTAGAATACCTGCATCTAATAAAAAACAATCTGAATAAATACAACCCCCTAAGTAATTACTGACAGTATCCTCCCTATGTGCCCGAAATAAATCATGATCTATAACACCAACAAAATGAATTCTTCTCTTACCAGCATATTGATCATCCCTTATTGTCAACTTTTGTTCAGAAAACATTTGCACTAACAACACATATGCATAAAAACAAAAGAGTTAAGAAACGTACACATTACATGCACATCACCTCAGAGTGACTGCATTATGGCATACTATTAATCCTGAGCGCTGAAGGAAAATGAAAATATGAATAAGGCACTTTTTTTGTTAAATGTAATATTTGGTCCAACAAACTTCATATTGTTTAAGGATTTATTGTTAGTATAAATGTCCAGACCTAACAGAGAGAGAGAGAGAGGAAAATTGCAACACTTGTTTGAGCTGCTGTGGAAAACGCACTTAATTAAATACAGTTTTCAATGTTAATTTGGATCAAAACATACCAAACATGTATGCTACATAACCAAACCTTTTCATTTATCTCAATGCACTGATAGCAAAAAAAATGAAATCAGTGCAATCGGAAATGTTGAATCATGCAAAAATATAAGTGTTGTACATCTTTCAAACCAAGGCACAAAATATGAAAAGATAAAGAACGTGTGGATTTGATGATTTTTGAGATTTGCAGAAAATGTAGCCCCTCTGTTGTGCGTGTTTCTGAAAGGCGTATAATGATTCAGCTGTCATCATGAGCTTATTTAAGAGCTTGTTCCTTGAGAAGAACATCTGAAACATGCAAACATACTATTCGTTCACCCAACAGAGCCCTTTTGTAATACTAGATCAAGTTTCATTAAACATGGCACTGAAGAAACCGTGTAACACTGGGTGTGTAAACACACTCGATTGCACAATATAGAAATCAGCCCAAGAATAAAAAAAATAATAATAATAACTGTTGTTACAATTCTGAACAGCCGAACTGCCCTGAACAAGTTTGCTTTATGCTGTGGATGTTTGCTGGCTGGATCCGAAAATGTAACCAAATCCAAATACCTGATCTAACTTAAGAGTGACACTTTCATGCCACAAAAAAGACACACTGGAACAAAAAAAAGAACAATTGGTGCTAGTTGATTTGTTGATAAAAAAAAAATCTCAATGTGCAAAATGAGACTAAAAAGTTCTGTTTGGAGAGTTGTTGAGTACCTCCAGGGGGTTTGTGTGTATGTCAGACCTACAGGAGGCAGGACTGACGTCAGGACAGCCCCACCATGTGGTCTATTTGCCTCATGTACATGCTCTTTAGTGGAAGACCATAACGTCTCTCTTCAGGAATCCGGTCACACTATTGCACAAATAAACATTTGTCAAAAACAGGTCATATTTACATCGCCAATAAATACCTCTTTTTTTTCTTTTTTTTTTGGAAGAAAATTATAAATATTCAAAATGATAGTAGAATATAGTCTTTCAAGAATTCACACAGATATTGCTTGAAGCTATTAGCAGGATTAGCATGCTGCTCCAGGAGAGAACCCCGAACTCGGAGATAATTGAGCCCAGAGCTCCCGCCTGGTCAATAAGCATATAAGGGGATCCGAGATCAGGTAGGTCTCGAGAGCTTCCCCTGGTAAAAGATGAAAGAGGAGGAGATGGGGTGGAAAAGGGGATTCTTTCAAACCGAAGATATGGCTATAGATCAAAATAGATCAATTTATTGTAGGCTTAAATCAATCTGATTGGATTATTGCCGATAACAAATGAAAGACCAGCTGCGATCAATCATATCATGTGCTCCTCTCAAAATTAGATAGTGAAACTTCACTTATTTGTTATTATTGTAAACTAGGGTTATTTCAGGAAATATTGCTTTCTCTTATTGCATATTGCTTATTTCTCTTATTCTTATTGCAACTCTTCTCATGGTAAAACACTGGTATTGTGTCATCTAAAAATGTATACAAACAAGTCTCAGAACATGACACCTCTTTTGTTATATGGAACACTAGCCTTTTTAGACTCTAAATAATTATGATTTAATTAATTATTATCTAAATAAATAATAATTGTTTTATTTTAGCTTTGAAGAAACATCAGTAGTTTACAGAACAAAACAGAAATACTCTTTCAGTGGTACTGACAAAAAAAATATATATATCCCAGAATTTGATGTTTTTTGCTTGATAGGACTGAAAGGATTTATTTAAAGTGCAGAGGGGAAAAAACCCTCAGAAATTCAATTCAGTGATCCAGATTGATTTCATCCTTGCTGTAAATTCAGTACCCATATAAATATTTATTATACTTTTTTTTAATGATCAATTTTGCAATTTTGGATTTCATTTTTGAGCAATGAATATATATATATATATATATATATATATATATATATATATATATATATATATATATATATATATATATATATATATATATATTTGTTTTGTTGCTTTTAAATGAGTGGATTTTTGGCAGAGAAAATAAAATAAAGGAAATATCTCTAAAAGGATAAACCCCTTTACAACAAAATAAATTAAGTAAAAGATAAGACTTTCATTCAATAAATTACTCAAAAGATTTAATTAGAGTCACTGAAATCACCAGTGCTCAATGTATATGAAATACATTTTGAAAATGAATATTTTTATACATTTCTCAGTGAAAATAGGTAATATATTCTGGAGCATGTGAACAAAACATATTTAATTAACAGATATATTTATTAAAATTATTTTAGTCATTGAACATCTTTAGGAATCGAAAGAAAATACATTTAAATTCATGCTAAATATTGAGTATAAACTTTTTAAACCCAATAAATTGTATACATTTTTTTCATATTTTACCCCAACATATATGTGGGTGTACTAATTTTGGACCATTGTCTTACGTTTTTCTGTTAGATTAGCTCCAAATTTGGCTTCATTACGGACTAATCTAATGTATACGCATTATTGTAAAGCTTCCTATAGAAACTATTCATTTAATTGAGATTTGCGAGGGGTGCACTCATATGTTGAGCACTGTAAATTCAAAACTATCAGTACTGTGAGGTTGTATGAAAGCAGTTTCTTACATTGCTTATGTTGGCTCTTGGGTCTTTCCTGGCCTCTTCATTTGGGAACTGCTCTTCCCAACTTCTCTCCCTGAAACGCTGATCTATTGGAACTACATGGCCTTCTGTAGTGAAGATGTACTTATTCTCAGACTTGTGCAGTGGGTTGTCTTCATCAAAGAGCTGAAAATATTGTAAAGCATTCAGTGATGGTGTGGTTTTCACAGAAGCAAATTATTAGATGCAATGAATAAAAACGTGGAGAACACCAACTAACCAAGTAAAGGTATTTGCAGGTTTCACTGAGGAAGAAACTCTCCATGCGATCTTCTTTGGATTTATCCACTACATGATGAAGAGTAGCGTAACCACACCTAAACATACAAACAAAAATTTCATCCCAAGAACACCTCAGCATCCCAATTTAGGTGATTGTTCAGCCTCATACCTCACTTTGGTATTTTTTTCAAGGCTTTCAAGAATGTCCATCCCAACATGAAGATAAAATGGATTCTTGGTTGCCTGTAGAAAGTGAAATTCCTCAACAGTTATACTGTATTGTTACT